GGGGGGGCACCGAGGATGAGTTTGTAGCACCAAGGGGGCAGTGGACTGAAAAAGTTTGGGAACCACTGATCTAGAGAATAAACTATGCATACTGGGAAAGAGGGAAGAATGATTTCACTGTATGCATTTCTTAATCTCCATTATTGTAACAATATTACACATTCACAGCAGAACCATAAAGCAAAAAAACCATAAAGCAGCATCAAAAATGTTAAAGTAATTAAAATTATATAAATAAGGATTTTTAAATCCCAACAATGAAAATAATTCATTCCAGAAACCAGGGATGATTTTACAAAAGGCTTAATTCTAACCTGCTGCCAGATAAGCTTATGGCAGCAGTTGGAGAACTTCTACAGATGTCTTCAGTAAGGGAAAATAGAATATATAGATGAGAACATCATGGAGTTCATACAAAATAATTCATCTAATTGCTAGTATACATATACATATACATATACATATACATATACATATACATACTGCGTTTCTCATATAATAAGGCCGGGTCTTTTTTTTCTTTGAGCCCCGAAAAAACGGCTAGGACGTCCTTTCGGGGGTGAATTAATTTCTCACCCCTGCACACCCTCGCCTAGAGCGCCCCGTGGACAGCCATGTCTTGCCACCAGTCACTAACAGCCAATCATGGCGGAGCACAGAGGGCTCCCTACTCCCGCCAAGCGCTTTTCTGCAGACCCAGGTCAGTGGGCGGGTGGCATGGATGTCCGCCAGCAGCGTTTCAGCCGCTTCTCGGGTCTCCGTAGCTTCCATGTTTCCCGCCGGCGCTGGCACCTCTCTCACCAGTGCTGTCTCCAACAACAGCGTTTGAGTCGCTCCCACTTTCCCCCCCCCCCCATCCCCGTCCCTGCAACAACAGGGGGAAAAAACCATTGAGGTACCTGGGAGCGCCGCGCAGTGCATTTTCGTTTAATCCCGAGTGGCTGGTTGGGCTTGAGAAGAGCCAAGTGAGCATCTCAGCCACTGCTACCCTTGGTGCTCCAGCCTCGAGCTCTGCAAGCTTCCCAAAGTCCCGGTTCGCAGCCCATTCCTGCATTCCAAGCGTGCCCAGGCCTAGCTGCAGCTGTCCCTCTCTCGCCAGCGCCGTCTCCAACAACAGCGGAAACAGCGGCGGGAACCGTGGAAGTTACGGAGTCGGCTCCCCCACCCAAGAAGCAGCTGAAACGCTTCCACAGTTCCTGCCGCTGCTGTTGTTGGAGACGCTGTTGTTGGAGATGGCACTGGCGAGAGAGGCGCCAGCACTGGCGGGAACTGTGGAAGCTACGGCACCCTGAGAAGCTGCTGAAACGCTGCCAGCGGACATCCACGCCGCCACCGCCCGCTCACTGACCCGGCCTGCAACCAGCACCATACCTGGGTCTGCAGCAAAGGTGCTTGGCGGGGATAGGAAGCCCTCTGTGCTCCACCATGATTGGCCAGTAGAAGCGGCTGGCGGTGAGGTATGGCTGCCCGCAGGGCGCTTCTAACGGCAAATCCCCCCCGCCCTTCCCCATTTCGCATGTTTTAAAATAGGCCTAAATTTGGGGGGAGGGGCTTAATTTCATTTTATGCCTAGAAAACATGTTGGGACTTCCTTTTGGGGGGCCACATTGTTGGAAAAACACGGTTTACATATACATACATATATTTCAGAATATCCATTAACACTTTACTTACACGGACGATTTACCAGTACGAGGATCATTGAAGGTAGTTGTTCGTGTGTTATGATCAACGAAGTATCTTACACCTTCTCTAGTGTATCTGATTTCCCAGCCTTCTGGAAGGGGATCTTCATTTTGTAAGCTAAAAAAATTAGTCAACAGGTTTTTTTAAAAATGCAGTAATTTTAATTTTGTTTCATTTTATTTAATGAGTAAAAACAGATTATCAATATACCCTTGAGTCCGTGGATCTTCCCACTGTGTTGTCTTTGTATTGTGATTTACAAAATATACTCTGTCATTTGAATCAACTCTCCTTTCTGTAATAAAAAATGAGCTATGTAAACAATATAAACAATAATGCATGAATATTATTTTACATATTTATATTTCTCACCCCAGCCTGGTGGTAAAGGACCTAGTGGATCATTTTCAGCAGAAAGCATTGAAGCCTAGTGAAAAAAAATAAATTGGAATTATTATTTTTTTAGTATTTACCTGCACTTGATAAAAATAAATAAAATCCTTCCATATAAACATCCAGTCAATATCAGTTCCTTTGCAATCTATATAAATTTGCTAAATAATGAAACAAACAAATAAGAGTCTTTCTAATCAGAGAAACTACCCAATTCCAAAATTGAGCTTATACTATGTACTGGAAGTTAACAAAACAAAAATTCCTGTTTTTTAGCTTTCTAACATTTTAAAAATTAACAAATTTATTATGGCAACATTCTTTTTTTTTTTTTTTTTTTTTTTTAAAAAATTTTATTTGGGTTTTCACAAAAATTAATACAAATAAAATATCTTTTGTTGAGAATAGCATGATCCCAGGTTATCACTTTTCCATACAGACACAAACTCAATTTCATATTCATTTTTGTATTCTATTTCATATTTTGTTACTATTTTAGCATTTTCTCTGTGATTTTTCTCTTCCCTTAGACTTCTCAACCTTGTTTTTAATTATCTCATTCCTTTCTAAGTTCAATTACATATCTTTTTCTAAGTTTCAATATCTTTCTAATCATTATGTTTATATTTTTGTCCTGTTTCAATTTCATATTTTGTTTTCTCATTAAACAAGTTTTCCCCTATAGTTACTGATTGGAGTATGACACCTTTGTATCTTTTAATTTTTGTCCATTCAGATCTTATTTAAACTTCAATTTATGCCTTTACAATTATAACATTCAATATCTAACCTCTATTTTATAACATATAATTTTTGCCAATCGAATTCTGCTTGGTACATTCTTAAAATACACACTAAGTTCTTAAGGATTATATATACATACATACATACATACATACACATACACACACACACACACACACACACACACATTATATATATATATATATATATATATATATATATATATATATATATATGTATATATATATATAAAACAATAATACATAAAATACTAATTCTATTCCAATTCGGCTCAACCATTAATGTTAGTTACAATCTTCCATTAATATTAATTAACATCTTTAACATTTATTTTCAATTAAATATCATACTTCCTTAGGAACACTTGAAATATTTCCAATTTTTTTTCATATTTTTCATATTTCTCTTCACTTAAAATTTTTATAAATCATTAATAACAATTAAAATGTTCCCATCCTTTCCTAATTTCATTCTCTCTCTTCATTTCATTTATTTATTAACAAACATTCCATTACATTACAATAAGTATTTTATCTATCACTTTAATCACACTTGTTTCATATTTTTAAAATTCATTTCTATTTCTAATATAACAATGCTATCTTATGTACCCTTGCAGAATCCTCTCATTCAATTAAATTTTCACCCATTATCTCTATATCTTCTAAATAGGCTTATACCTTTAATCCTTGTATGTTTTCCCTGTTTCTCTATATCCTGTTTCTGTCCTTTATAACTTCTTTTCCTTTCCTTCTTCCCCCTCTTCTTCTCCTTCCCCTTTTTGACCCCTTGTCTCTCTAATTCTAATTCTCTCTTCTATAATCCCCACTTCTGTTTCTTCCTAATATTTTAATTGCTTTTCAAACTGTTCTTTTTTTGGTTGTTTTTTCAAATCTTAAATTTTTCACTCTCTTTCCCCCCTTTCCTTTTTTCCCCCCATATAGGATTACTTGATCATTAAAGATGGCTTCTTCTTTGTCCCGCCCTTCTTGTTCTTCAAGCATTTCTTGTTATTTCTCATAGTTCAAGATCTCCATTTCTAATAATTGAAATACGAAGCCAAAAAAACCCTTCTTGTGCATCTTCTTTCTGTTTTTTAAGTTCCATTTTCAGTTCTTCCAAGAGTGATGCCATTTTAAACACTTTTAAACAACCACCCAATTGATTTTAGTCATTTAAATCCAATAACCAAAATTCCAAAAATCACCAAGTAATCCAAATAATCCAAGGCTGTTTCTTCTTGTTTCTTTTTTCCGCTTTCTCTTCCTGGGGTTCTATTATCTTGTTACAAAGTTTCAGTTAGAATGTATTTTTTAGGAATCTTGTTAAGGTTTCACTGTTAATTCCTTTTACTTCCACCCTTTTGGTTTTTTCCTTTTCTCTTTCTTTCTTTTAAAAGTTTTTAAATATCCAAGAAATCTTTATTATCCCTTTGACATTTTATTTTTAGCTTGAATGCCTATTCATGTCAAAGTGATTTTTTTTCAGTTTCTTACTTAAGTCTCAACTGTCAGTATGGGGAAAGAAAGAAAAAAAACCCAAATCTTTTATCTTCTCTCTCTCCTTCGCCGCTTCAGAAATCTTCTTTGGAACAATGTTATTCTTTATAGTTCAGATACCAGGGTACCTTATGTTGTTGCTTTTTCAGTTCAACCTGGTCAGTCAAAGCTTTCTCTTCTTATCTTCCTCCTGCACAATCTTTTCTGGTCGGGTTCTTCTTTGAGGTGGCCATTTCTGACCACCGCTGCAACCGCCTTCAGGAAAGGGAGTAATGGCCAGCTGGGGAGGAGAGATACAGCTCTCCTCGACCCTGCTGGCAGTCTCCCCCTCTCTTCACCACCTCTACGGGGTGGCTTTGCCCTGAATCCAGCCGGCACGGGGCGCTTCGGCGGCAAGCACGGATCGAAACCATGCATGATCACGGATTTCAGTCCGTCGCCGAAGAAGCCCAAACTGGAAGTCCTCATTCATGGCAACATTCTTAAGATATTTAGTCCGAGACCAAGTAGTTTATCAGCCATGGACTGGTATCAAAATATAGTTAAACAGGACACGGTTTTGGCTAAATCACGGCTTCACATCTCAGCTCAACCACTGTCAGGGCAATGTAAAATCATATACATATACTAATATGCATTAAATATATAAGAATGGACAAAAGAAGAATCTAAACACATTTTTAGCTTTACCGAATAGAGGTATCGTTGGTTAAATTGTTGCATAGCTCCTTGCAATTGATTTCGTTGCGACTGCCATTGTTCAAAATTTCTAACTGATTCCATTGTTGGTCTCTGCCATGTTGTTGTTCGTGTATTGTGGTCCACATAATAAACTCTTCCGCGATCATCAACCCTTCTTTCCCAGCTAGGAAGAAATTACAATGTTGGGAATCATGTTATAGCAATAAATAACTTGTTATGGGGCACTGTTAATTGTATATTAGTAGGTATGAAGATTTAATCTAGAACTTTTTCTAGATTAAAAGCTAGAAGCTTTTAATATGAAAGTCATCACCAGGGAAATTGCTATTATAAAAAAAGAAATCATTCAATGACACAAAATAAAATCTATAATAAACTAGTCTGAATACAGAATAAATTAATGGGAGCCACTCCAAAGCAATCAGAATTATGTGAATTTTAAAACTATTTTTATGTGTTACAGATTTGATGATTTTTATGTTGAATTTTATCGATTAGTATATTGACATAGTACAGTTAATAAAAGGAATGTTACCAGTCCCCTCTTCCCTCTTAAATAATGTGAATTGGAAGTGAAGGGCAGTAAAGCTTCAGTGAAATAGAAGTTGTGCAAAATGGGGCAGACCTCTGACTAATATCCCCCTAGTCATTGTCCAGGAAGCTCACCTTAAAGTCAAAGGGCATAAATAACTGAAGAAAGTATGATAGAAGAAGCATCTTTATACTATCCTAATTATAATTCAAGCTCATGAATTTACTTTTAAAGATTACTAAAAGGCTAGCTTTTTTAATTTTTTTGTTTATATAAAGAAACTTAAATTTCATTGTATAATTTACATACAAAGAAACATACTGTAGCAAATTCTCATCTTTAGGTAACAATTTTGTAGCCTTTATTAATATATGGAAAAGTATAACTATTACCCTGGTGGCAAAGGTTGAGGCCTTTCCCAAGTTGTAGTTCTTGTGTTATGATCAACATAATAGGTTCTACCATGTGGATCCTTTCTTTGTTCCCATCTTTGAAAAATACAAAAAGTAGAATTTAATTAATAGAAAACAAAAGTTTCTATTAGATCAGTTATAGGAAATGATGCTGCAGGAAGGAAGGAATCCACTGACAATCTTCTTCCTTCCTATTACATGGTTACATTCTTAAACTAGAGTTAATCTAGCATTAAAAACAAGTTAGTTATCATCACAATGCCCAATTAAATTTATTTTTTGCATTTATATATAGAAAATCAGATGAAATATCTTCAACTTTGGCCCCACTGGATAGATAAAATCAATAGAAAATACTAGAAATAACCTAAAGATATATTAGACATAAATGATTTCAAGAGATTAAATTCAGTTACCTTAGTATAATCCAACACATTGACAAATACCTCCCCATCCATCCATCTATCCATCTATCTAGTTAAAATATGTCACTAACATTTCTATATTAATCTCATCTCACATACCCTGGGGGCAAAGGTTCTATGCTGGTGTTACCAGGTTGCTGCCTTACAGCTTCGCCAGATACATTAGCAGACTCCCTTGGTTTTGCTACTTCTGTCATTGGTGTTGCATTGTTCTCTGTGCTAGAGGATACAGAATCTGGAGGAGTAACAGGCTGAAGTCCTGAAAATTCATTGAAGGCAGTTATAGATGTACTGTTTTCAGCATTACTAGTAGTAGCCTCAGTTTCTATAGGAGTTTCTGAAATAGTAGTGGTACAATCTGCAGATGTAGATGGTGCTTCTGTAGAATCCATAGGTATTTCGGAGATTGAAAGATTATCAGCTTCCATTATAGATGATTCACAACTAACTGTAATATACAAAAAGAGAATAAAATGTGAGATAAGCATTACTTTTATCTTTTGAACATTACATCCAAAATCAAACATGAAATCAGGCTGCTCAGCCAACAATGGTAACCTGCAAACATTATTGATAGTTAAAATATTATAGATTACTAAAATGTTAAAGTAATATGCAGATAAAATGGCAACTGCAACAATTTGATTATGTTATGATCAGCTTAATAGGTTCTTTCATTTGTGACTCCTCAAGTAATTTTCAACTCCTAGTAACCACATAGATTTTCTCTATCTCCAACTTGTTCTTTCAAGTCTCCCAATGATGCACACTGTAATTGAGTCCATCCATCTGGCTGCTGGTCATCCCCTTCTTTTCCCCAACTCTTCCAGTACAATAGTCTTTTCCAAAGAGTCAGTTTTCACATGACATGCTGAAAGTAAGATCATTTGAGCTTGGTAATTTGTTTTTTCAAAATGAAAGTTCAAAGGCATCAATAATCTTTCTCTTCTGCTTTTAAAATCCAACTTTCACTTCCATACAGTGTCACAGGGAATACTATGGCTTGTACTCTTCTGATCTTTGTTTGTACAAACACATTACAACATTTATTTTTTCCAAGGCCTTCATGGATGCTCAACTACACAATGCAGCTTTTACATAGTCTTGTTCTATACAAATGTAACAGAGTCCAATAAATTCTAGATATTATTTGTTGTATAAATCATAATTTGAGGTACATTGACTCTCTTGCAATAGAAGTTAAAACGTTCTCTCATTGTCCACGCAATATAGGGATCTCTGATTCTTTGTTCCACTCATTTCTTAGCATCTGCATATCAAATTGATTTACAGATAACAAAAATCTATAAAAACTAATAGTAAGCGTTTTAATTTTAACAGATTTAACAAGTTCTACCGTGTTTCTCCAACAATACCCCCAATAGGAAGACCCAGCATGTTTTCTAGGGATAAAATGAAATTAAGCCCCACCCCCCAAATTTAGGCCTATTTTAAAAGATGCAAAATTAGGGGGGCAGGGGGAACATGCCTTTAGGAGCACCCCGTGGGCAGCCACGCCTCGTCACCAGCCGCTCCTAACGGTCAATCATGGTGGAGCGCAGAGTGCTTCCTACCCCTGCCAAGCGCCTTTGCTGCAGACCCGGGTATGGTGCTGGTTGCACTCGGCAGGGCACTTTAAATTGTGAGACCTTCGGCATCCACCGCTGCTGCTTCCTCCGCCACTCTTGCTTTCCCTTCGCATTCCTCCACCAGCAGTGTTTCAGCCGCTTCTCAGGTGGGGAGTCACCTCCGTAGCTTCCACAGTTCCCGCTGGCACTGGCGAGAGAACAGTCGCAGCACCGGTGGGAACCATGGAAGCTATGGAGGCAGCTCCCCCGCCCGAGAAGCAGCTGAAACACTTCCACGGTTCACACCAGCACTGCCGCTGTTCTCTCGCCAGTGCCGGTGGGAACTGTGGAAGCTACAGAGGTGGCTCCCCTACCCGAGAAGCGGCTAAAACGCTGCCGGTGGAGGAATGCGAAGGGAAAGCAAGAGCGGCGGAGGAAGCAGCAGCGGCGGGCTCTGAAGGTCTTGTGATTTAAAGTGCCCTGCTGAGGCCAACATCCACACCGACGCCACCTGCCTGCTGACCCGGCCTGCAACCAACACCATACCCGGGTCTGCAGCAAAGGTGCTTGGCGGGGGTAGGGAGCCCTCCACGCTCAGCCATGATCGGTCATTAGGAGCGGCTGGTGGCGAGGTGTGGCTACCCACAGGGTGCTCTAGGCAAGGGTGCGTGGGGAGGAAAAATTAATTCACCCCCGAAAAGACAGCCTAGCCGTTTTTTCAGGGCTCAAAAAAAAAAAAAAAAAAGACCCGGCCTTATTATATGAGAAACACAGTAGTACCTCAGGTATTTCAGAAGCTTCAGAAGAATGGTGCTGGCCAATAATTTTTTTTGCTAACAAATGTTGTTACACTAAATATTTCTATTGGATTATAAGATAATGATATTTAATACTTAACACGGTGTATGTTAAATATTCATCTTCTTCATCAGTTAATCCAAAATAAGTATCTCTACTTCCATTCAATTTTTTATAGCTTGATTAGCTTAGAGATTTGACTGATTTTTTCTGTGGTGGTAATGATCCAAATGCTGATATAATTTCATTTTTTTATATTAGAGGTTCTTGTAAGGAATATCCTCTATGGTATCTTGGATGTTGAGATCTCTATTGCATAGTGTTTCAATATACTCCTTCCCTCTTCATCTCCTTAAAATTGGTTACTACTTATCCGTTGGTGTCCTTTAGCATACCCATTTGAACTTCTGTTTCCATTTCTTACGTTTCTGCAGATATTGTATAAACTGCAATACTACTTATCTTTTCTAACAGTTCTCAAAAACTGTTTGGGTTTCTTTCTGAGATTTTGTCTTTCTTGACTTTGGCTTCTCTTCTCCTCTCTTCTTGGCAATTCCAGTTTGTCCTGACATCCAATTTGCTTTCTTTCTTATTTCAATTTAACACACTCTTTTCACATTCATCTTTAAAGACTTTAAGTTCATTATATAATTCCTCTGGTTCACCATTATTAAAGTTTAGGACTTCAAAGTGATTCCAATGTTCTTCTTGTCTTTCCTTGAAATTGCAACATAACATCTGACAAACAATAAACTTTATTTCCAAAGCTGAAGCTGAAAAGGTCAGCTGTAAACATCCTAACAATTTTAATGCAAACACATCTTCTTCCTTTTGAAGTTGGGAGAAAATTCTGGAAAGTAATGAAAAGAATCTGCAGCTAAAATTCTATACTCTACTTTAGAATAAGCTTCAGCCTTATCTTCAAGCTAAGAGACAGCCTTACCATAAGGCTAAGTGAGACAACAATTTCTGGCAGCAGATGCTGGGAAATGAAAGATAAAAACTAAGTTCTGGGGTAGGAATCAGAGCTGCATTACATGTTCTGACTTAAAGTCCTAAGTATTTTATTGTCTACAAGTGCAGGTTATGCCCTCGTCAGTATTAAAGATTCAACAAAAATTTTAGTCCGACACTGTACATGAATAAGAACAGGATGGGGTGCCTTTTTATCTTTCATCTTAGGTAGAAAGACAAACTATCAATCTTACCCACAGCAAGGAACAGCCAATACCCAGTAGAGAGACTCCAGAAGTAATGAGGTTAAAATGTTTTATCCACTTTTCCAAAGTGAAAGGGGTACTCTCCATTTTTTTAAAAAAAGATGTTTGATTCCATCCAGCCAGAACAGAAAATGAATCTGGCAACTTTTTTTTGTTTGATTAGCAAAATCCATTAAAAACAGTACATATAGTAGATATGTAGCTTTGTCTGTATACTTCAATATTAATTTCCCTAAGACTGTTATAAGGAAGACATAATATCTAAGCAATAAATTACATTATTACAGCAGTATATTTTATTATATTTATGATTCTTTACTTCTAATTAGTTTGAATTTTCAGGTTATAAAACAGCTACGTTTTAAATACATATTACAAATAATAGAATAGAATAGATTAATAATAATAGAATAGCTCAGGATGGAACTGTGGGGACCTTGGGGCTCTCTGAGCTTGGTTGTTTCTTTGCAAACATTTCATTATCCAATTAGGTAACAATATCAGTGCTAGAAGGGACTGGGTTTAGCTCTCTGTTTATATACCAGTCACTACTGCCTTGCCCTGTCAGTGTCCATGGCAGTATTCTTCGTGGTTCCTTGATTAGTGATTACTGCATCTGGAATGCAGTAATCCTGTTTAGCAGTCCTGTTCAGTGTGACTCATAACATCTTAGGAAAAGACAGATAAAGGAATATCTTAAAGGATAATATGCCAATACTACTAGAAACCTCACAAATAAGATCACTTAGATCAGTTCTAAGTTGAACATTGCGTGAGCAAGTCCTACTGTAACTGGTATCTGAGAAGAGTTAATCCTGTGAGTCTCAAGAAAGCAAATAAGGTTCTCAATGCTTTGAGCACAGCCACCTATATGATGAACCTATGTTCCTCCTGGTTAGTCAAGACTGTTAGGAAATATGTGTAATGGTAAAAAAAAAAGACCTTGGAAGATGGGGCAAAAAAGTGCTGCCTAGGGAATAATCAGATGAGAGGTAGCATAGTCCCCAGCTGTCTAGTGAGTGAGCAAGAGGCTGAAGAAGGACCTTGCTTAAGTTATTAGGCTGTAAAATTGACAGCAGGAAAATTGTATGATTCTGTTAATTGTACAAGAAACTAGAATTAGCTTATCTGGTCATGTTTCCTGTCTGGTCTACCTGGTAAAGCTGACATCAATCTTGCATCAAGGTCCTCTTCCTTACACTTTACAGGAATAGCATTGGGCCTCAACCCTGTTGACCTTCAGGAAAGAATTAAAAAGTTTATTTTTCCTGCAGGTCTTAGGTAATTTGTAAATTATTTGAATGGTTGCTATTTGAATGTTTGTACATTCCTTTACATGCTGCTATTATTATGGTATTTCACCTTATATTTAAATTATGTTTTAACCCATTGTATGCTAGCTTGAGTCATTTCATTGAAGTTTTACATCAGATAAATAATTCCACCGCCCCCAAGAAATCTGAGTTCAAGATTACTTATTACATTTTTATTCCACTTTCACTCAAATAGCTTGTACTTATAAATTAAGTTGCATTAAACTGTATACATATTCTAAATAAATGTTTACAGTTTGCATTTTTCTTGTTTCAATGAACAAATAAATAGCATTGATAAAACATCTGATCTCAAGGTGACATATAAGCCTTTTTAAATCCAATTTTTAACCTAACATTTTTCCATATCATCCTTTAAAAGCTGCTGCAAAAGGTCAGGAGATTATTTGATGTAACAGTAAGTATATCACAACAGAGACAGTGACATTTTGATACATACACATATTGAAGTTTCTCCTCCTATGTACTAGGTTCTCAATAATCTAACTTAATAAATCACTTCTTAGTATTAATTTAATGTTTCCTTAAAAAAAATAAGGAAATGTAGTAAAACATCTTAGTCAACATTTTCCTTACCAATGTTGTTATCTTGTTCACTTGACAGTGGATTTGGTATTGGTGAATTTTTGGATCTGGTCACAATATGAGGAGATGATGAGTTGTCTCCATTGTCTCCATTAACAGCATGTATAGGGAATGAGATCTGTGCTATGGAACTTGATGGTGTTTGATTATCTAATCTGTAGGAAATATCACACAGGTCATGAAAAAGGTATTACATTTATATATTCTCCACTCCAGTAACCCACTATATATAAATCAAAAGTAAATGTATTTTAAATAATTTTCATATTCTTCTTCCTTCACCTATTTTCATTTCTCAGCATCATATTTAATTTGTGTATCTGTTATGTTTTCAGCCATTAGAGCAAGGAATAGAGGCAGTTCTTGTCAAATGACCACTCATTCATCAATTATTTGATGGTGCTGAACAAGGGGGACTGACAAAGGGCCCTCATAATTGCAGCCATCACAGCATCCCTAGGGTCACGTGATCGCAATTTGGACACTTGGCAACTAGTGCAAAATTATGTTGCATCATACCATGATCACCATTGTGACCTTACTGCCAGTTTCTGACAAGAAAAGTCAATAGGAAAGCTATCCTCAAATAGTGCTCATGTGACTGCAGAATCATGCAACGATGCAGGATTTGCCTGATGGTAGCAACTGGGATTGTCACAACTGCCACTTTAACTCACAACTGCCATTGTAAATTACATGCCTTTGCACTTTACAACCACATCACCTAGTAACAGAGTTGCAATCCCAATTATCATTATTAAGTGAGTACTACCTGTACTTTGTTTGTTTATCAATAAAATTTATTGGCCACCCATCTTACTATAAGGTAACTCTAGGAGGCTTACAGACATAAAAAAATACATCTACATTAATTCTTTTCTTTGTAAGAGAACTACATGCCTAAAGAAGAATATAAACAAATGATGTGTAAAATATCAACTATTCATATTAACATTATCTCAATGTGTATTTGGGTGTTTATTTAATGTGTTGTATAACATCTTGCCCCTTCACAAACTACTTACAATCACTTTGTTTTCTGAATGTGTATATTATTTTAATAAGTATATAAGATTTCTTATTAAGTAGAACACCAATTATTTTTGACTATAATAAATTTCAAATTTCATTACACAAAAGAACAACGCTGGCCACTAAAGATGCTAAATGATACTTGATAAAATTGAATGGAAACTTCCTGTCAAAATAGCTTAGCAAAACAATTCAGTGTAACACATTTTGTACTTCACAGTCATTTCAAAACAAAGTACTACTGGACAGAGAAAAATGAAGAGAACAAATAAATAGGTATATTCATTGTAAATAAAGACTGCTGCTTTATCACTTTAAGAAAATAAGGGACACATTAGATCTAAACAAACAAACAAAAAATAGCAGGGGGGAGAATGATGTTTAACTGGATCAGGTATTTTATTGCTAAGCTACAGACTGACTGACTGACTGACTGTTTACAAGAGAATCCCAGCTGATTTACAGCAGGAATGAGTGGCAGCATGGACTGACTTTGAAGTAATTTTTGTAGAATTCATCTAGGTAGGTTTCTTCACAAAAGAATTTACTAAAGTAATGCCACACTGCATTTAAGAAAGCAACAGCACATGGCGCTGAACAAACTGACTATTTTTTTCAACTATCTAAATAGGAGGGAGAGGTTAAAAATAATATTTTGTTACACATTATACAGAAATCTGATATAATGTAATGTAAGTTCACTGCCATTCTTCCTTAACTGTTTTCCTATAAATTGCAGTCACACATATCCCCCTATTAAAATGTTTTATGAAATATATTAATTATTGTATAAATTTTCACAAAATAGTTCCATTATATGCATGTAAAAATATACACAACTCAATGCCTCCTTAAAGTAAACATTTAGTCAAACTAATAGCATACTGGATACTGTGCTACAATTTATTCCACTGTCACCTAGCCAAGGCTACAATGTAATCTGATATTCTGCATATTCAATTCAATGACATATAGTATTCAAATAAAAGAAAACTAACCTGGAAGCGGTCCTAGCAGGTGTTTCTCTATTTTCATGTAAAGCATCACCATTTTGCTGGGCTAAACAATAAAAGAGAGAATTAGATTTTTCCATTTCTCTTTTTAGACTAAGAGATAATAATTTTAATCCCCTTGAATTTAACTTACTGGTTACTAGTGAGCTGCGATTTGAAAGAGATTCTGTTTCAAGCACCAAACCATCAAGCACTATTATCAGTTCTCCTGTTTGTATCAAGCCGCTCTTATTTTCCAGTGAAAGCTTCAAATGTTCTTTGACATGTTCTACTATCAGAAAAAAAGTGTTTTGTAAAAAAAATAAGCTACTTATTAAAACAGCAAATGCATTTTTTCAGATCTAACTCTAGTAGCTAAATATGTAGGAGAAAAAAAAATCCCTGTGTATGTCTAATCATTTTAAATATTAAGATTACTACAACATGGTTATAAAATTATACAGAACTCCAAACAGCGCATCACACTATGAAGCATAGTCTGTAATAATTATCTAATTGCATATGCACTATTCAAGATATAAAGTCTTTAAAAACATCAAAATGAGCCTATAACAGGGGTGTCAAACTCGATTTCACTGAGGGCTGCATCAGGATTGTGTTTGACATCGGGGGTGGTGGGGGGCATTAACGTCACTTGTGTCAGGGACACCTATGGTGCCCCAGGCACTCTGCCAGCGAAAACAGGTTCCCGAGCTCAGTTTTTGGCTGCCACGGCCTCCTCCAACCCTCTGCAAGTGAAAACAGAGCTCTGTTTTTGCTGGCAGAGGCACCTGGGCTAGTCCTCTGCTGTTTCCAGGGCAGCCCCCGGTTCTTTGTCACCCAACCTATAACATATAAGGATCTTTATGCTGTTAAAGCACAACTCACACAAACTGAAAGCTGTTCATGAAATTGGTTTTTTTATTTCTTCCTTCCCAATGCAACATTTATTTATTATTGCATTTATATTCAATTTTTTAATTCTAATATTCAGCATTTTTATTCTTCCATTCAATTGTGTCTGATTCTTGGAAACTACCTAGACAAATCTTGGCATGATTTTTCAGAAGTGGTTTACCACTGCTTCTTTTCTAGGGCTGAGAGAATGACTGGCCCAAAGACAACCAGCTCATTATATGTCTAATGCAGGACTAGAACTCATGGTTTCCTAGTTTCTAATTTGATGCCCTGATTACTGCATTTCTTTACATTCAGTATAGGTTGCAACAATAAAGTATATAGTACGAACAGAATAATGTGAATACAATTAAAAGATAAAGAAGTTAAACTCATTAAAATAAATAACAATTAAAAGTTTAGAAAATATATAAGAATTTACCATTTTCCTAAATAATGGGTGAATGGGAGCCAACTGCATCTCCTTTAGGGAACCATTCAATACCTGGGAGCCATACAGAAGAATGTCCTTTACTAAATTATTGAGAGTCATGTTTTTAGCATCAGGAGAATTTTAAGAATTGTCTCTATTGATCTAACTAACCAGGTTCATGGTGGAAAAAATGGTTCACAGATAGTTAGACCATAAGTCATGAAAGAGTTCTTTAGATCAACACTAGCATGTTATATTGTGCCTACTAAGCAACCCAAAGCTCATATTGGATTCACATACTTTTTTTCTTAACACCTATGGAAATTGCTTATAACAGTATGTATATGCATATGTCTGTGTGCACACACATGTGCGTACATAAGCACACCCACCCACAGACACATATACATATCTCCTTCAGAACAGTAAGTTTCATTACACTGGATGAGTTTCCTTCAATCCTTGACAACAGAAGTTTTATATAGGTTTAAGAGCTTTTTTTTTAAAAAAAAAAAACCTCTAATTTTGGAATAAATAGCAAAAGAGTGATTAAAACATTGGTTTTCTGAAAGTCATAAATGGACGAAGGAGCCAGATCGGTTTCAAATAGATTTTGAAATTAATAGCAAGAATCCTTCCTGTGAATTCTTCAGAATTCTACTAAAGATGAAGAGTATGAAATTAAGTATAACAAAAATTTCCATGAGAAATGCTGTTGGTTAGAAAAAATACATAAGATGGAACTTTTGAAGGCTGGACATTAAGAGGGAACCAAAATGAACTAAAGATTATAATTAAAGAAGAGGAGACTCACTAATTCAGAATAGATCAGATATTTTACCTTTGAAACAATTCAAGCAAACAATTCAATTCATTGTTATTTGAAAACAATGCACTCAGAAATTACTCTTAAGACTATCTGCTATCATAAAGTGGATTGAAAAGAGATTATAGAAAAAATAGTTTTACTGGACAAGAGAGAGACTGATTAAAAATGATAGCTTAAAAATGATACGGAAAAAGATGTTACATAGAATTTACAAATGAAACCAGATGATGTCTTAATAATTGAAAGGTATACACAAATAACAAACCTGAAGACAGACTTCAATAATTTTTTTTCTTTTGGATTTACCAAAGAGACATGTAAAGTTTTGAAGGGACAAAGAAAAAATGAAAAGAAATTAAATTCTGGGGTGCTATTTAAAGGGTTTAAAGATCAAGTTTGTTAAAAGCAAAAGGAAGGAGTACATGTATTTGATCAAGGTTAAAATATATAGGTTGTTGTTACTGGTAACTCTTGATGGATTTTGCTCACCAGGACTGAATGATAATTAAATTTTAATAAAAATAAATGTAAATATTTGCTTGAGGACAAGAGATCATTTATGGAAAGGAGAAATCTTTTGTTGTATTTTCAGAGAAAGTGACATTGCTTATATGAAAGTAAAGGAATTTAAAGTTGTTTTATATTTAATTAAGGTTAAAATATATATGTTGTTATTTCTGGAAACTCTTAATAGACCTCTGTTAATTAGGGCTAAATATGCTTGTTTACAGATAAGAAATGACATATGGGAAGAAGATTTTTTTGTTGCTGAACTTCAGGGAAGGTGATAAGGTTCTGAAAATGTTTCTATTTGTCGTGATGAAGGACAGGTAAATCTTATTTTTTTCTTTACTATATTTTTCCTTTCTTTTTAATTTTTATTCTTTCCACTTTTTTGTTTTTACTTTTATATTTTTTTAAGTTTGTATTAGTGTTTTATCTTTGTATCTCTAAACATCAATAAAATTGTTATTAAAATTATAAAAAAAGGATCAAAAACAAGACCAAAATAAAGACAAGCAGTACACATCCTAACTGCTGACTATTACTTCATTCAACTTCATTTGTGCTTTGTAACCCTTTTATTTCTTGTTTCCTTCAGATAGTATACACTCCCTACTTGTTAGGAGCTCATCCCATTAATTCTTCCACAATGCTCCTTTCCTATACTTGTTAATTTTCCTTGCTTACACTAATAAGCAATTAGTTCAATTAATCAGAAGGGCCAAAGAATATTTTCACAATCAGTAGCTATTCATAAGATGACCTTTTCAATGTTCACAACTATGTTCACAACTAGCTAGCACATAGCCCTTTAGAATAGACATCGTTTCTTCCAAATTTTTTATTGAACTCCACTGGTAAACTCCTTTGGGCTTTCTTTGTTCATTGATTCTTAAATAATATTTAGTTCAGATTACATTTCCTAATGATTCCAACATTGTCTGTCTGTCTGTCTGACTTTCTATATCTATTGATCGATTGATCGATCAATCCATTTAATATACCACTCATCTCACAGTACAAGGCAACACGAAGTGGCTAACAATACAGTTAAAACATAAGGAAGTAAAAACAATTTTAAATATAAAAACAAATCAAAATTACAAAAGATTAAAATAAAATAAAAAAACAACCCACAGGTTTAGAGTGAAAAGGTGGTTGTGGCTGCTATGGTATTACACAAGCCATCTCCAGCAAACAGCTTCTCCTTTAGGACCACCACCACCCCAATGCCAACTGGCATAGCCAGTTTTAAGGCATTTCCTGAAGACCAGACAGGGAACTTACCTTCTGTGACAAGATGTTCCAAAGAGCAGGACCATGGCAAAAAAGGCTCTATTCCTGGACCTAGCCAGCCATAATTCTTTGGCTGATGGTATCTGAAGTAGACTTCTTCTGCCAGCATGAATATAGAGGGGCAAAGGGCTTCTAAGATATCTTGGAGCTGTGCCATAAAGGGCTTTAAAAGTATTGACCAACACCTTGAATTGGACTCAGAAGCAAATCAGCAGCCAGTGCAGCTTGCATAACATTTACATGTTGGGGTTACATATGCCACCCTAAGAGCCACTTAAAAATGTATGCATGGCTGCATTCGGAACCAACTTTAGCTTCCAATGGGGTAGCCCCATATAGAGAGTGTTGCAATAATCTAAATAGGAGATGACCAGGGCATGAGTGACTGAGTGCAGAGCCTCATAATCCAGAAAAGGATGCAATTGGCACACAATCCAAGGTTGTATAAAAGATCTCCTAGCCATAGCTATTACCTCCTCTTCGAGCAGGAGTCACAAGTCTAGCATAATTCCCAAGTTGCTCACTGGATCTGCCTGGGGTATTTCAGAGGAATTATTATCACATAACATTTAGCATGCCTATATTTAAAGCATAATGTGGGCATAAAGTACAGAATATTAAAAATAAACAAACAAGATAAGTGGATTCTATGCAAACTTTAACTTACATCTTCTATTGTGAACTTCCAAAGCTTGTCTAAGATCTACAGTGGCTTTTCCTAATAAAGCATCAGCTTTTAAAGTATGATGGCTCCAAACTCTAAATTCCAAAGTGGTCTGTGGAGTCACATTCCTATACAGAAAAAGATTCCTTTTTAAAATTGGAAATACATTACTGCATATATTTAATAATCCCCAAGATGCAAAAAAATAATTATTTTATTTGAATATTGTCTTTTAATTAGAAATCAGTAAGTTTGAATAATATTACATCAATACAATTATAATACAGTTTACAGCCTGAGTTCAATAATTAAAATGGTTGAGTCATATTATAACCTAAATACACAATATTTGAACTGTCATAATATACTTTTCAAAGTAATCTCCATCTTCTTTTTCCTCAATATTCAAACTATCACGGTTATTTTATTGCTATGCATATTTTTTTCTGAATTCATTCATATATGTCAACCAACGGAAGTATCACCAAGGAATAAAAGCCAAGCGCAACTAGTAGAAACTTCCAGTTTAGATCTAACTTTTATACAGTATGTAGTACTCTTGAAGTTGCACAAAAACAAAGGTAACCAAAGTTCTTTCTTTATGGTTACACTCCCTACAATTTCCAGGTAAAGCTTTCTAATTTGCTTTCCCTTGACTTTTATTTTAACACACTATTCAATATTGCCTCCTGTTTTGTTATTATAAAATATGCTTCTGTTTATTTATGTTTCCACTTACCTGTATTTCTTTTATGGATAGAAACAAGGCCAGATTATTGATGAAAATTTTATTTTCAAAAATGGGGATTAATTTGTGTTTGTTTCTTCATCCAATAGTAGGTGAGACAATCCTGAATGCAATCCAAAACAGTATTTGGTAGAATCTAACAGAGGAGACTTTACACTCCTATCCCATCATAACACAGTGACTAACTCCCTGTCACCCAATGTTTTTTCCTTATCTTGTCCATAAAAAAATAGTGTGATTAAGGGGTCTGGTGCCTGCATATTTATTCTGGACATTTGGGATAGAAATAGTTAACTACAAAAATATTCTACTTACACTGTTAATTGTTCTTCCCATTTTGGATTTGAGGAACTGCCAGACTTAGATGTTTTCTTCACTTCGTTGTCTGCTACTAGTTCTGTATAAATGGCAGCTAAACCAAAAAAGTTCTTTTTTCTTTTCAATTTGGCACTAGAAACTAAAAAAAAAAAAATTCAAATTACTGGAAATAGTTATTATTAGAAAATGACAATTGATTACAATGTGTCTATTCAAAACTAATGAATGGGGGAGCTTATTTTTACCACTATCTAGCAAATCCAGGCCAAGTGCACATTTTGTGATTACAAACAGTATTTTACTGTACATTAAAATTGCGTAGAAGTACTTCAGTACTCTAATTTAGAACATATTGACAATCAAAAGGCTTCTGCTTTGTTCTAAGAAAAATCCCTTGTATATATTCCAGCATGACTGTTGTAATCCAGAAACAATATCGGACTTCACACTTCCTTTTTCATCTATCTAAAAGGAGCCATGTTAAAAAACTAAAACCTGATGGATGAGTACTACTGGAAAGGTGTGATAACAAGCAGTTAAATAGATCTATTTGAAGTTGTTCTTCATACTTCACTAGTAACAAATCAGTACACTAATATTAACTGTTCATCGTCTGAGTTATATTTTCACTGAAAATGGTTCCAGCTCCTTAAATATACTTTCTGACATAGAATGTTTTATAAAAGTTACTATAGCAACGTGTCGACAGGGGTATTATGTAATCAAACAGCAAACTTTAAAATCTACAAATATAGTTTTCAATAACCCTATCATCAAGAGCTTTTAACAATTCCTACTCCTTCTTAGCCAACATTTTGAAAGGTCTTAAAATCTAGTTTTGTATAATAGCACAAAACCAAAAATGCTTACATGAAAGCTACACCTGAAGAACTGGTGTCTCATATACCCAAAGACTATTATTTTGTTTAGTAAAGAAGTAAAATACAGATATTCCTCAATTAGGACCACAACTGGGACTGAACCTCTAATGCGAAGCAATGTAGTTGTGTCACATAACTGCACTGCTTAGTGGCAGCACTTCCAGTGGTCCCAAATGAGATTAGAAATTGTACAGAATATTCATAGCTTGGGTTGTAGATTTAGGCAGAGGTTTGTCCTCCAAGCTTGCTGCTTGGCTCCCGGACATTTTGTCACCAAACTAAGTAATATCTTCAGCAGCGGTTTGGGGTGAAGTGTCTTGTTCGTTTATATAGATCCTGGGTGATGGGTTAGTCTTGTGACAGTGATGTTTCATAGTTTCGCAACAAAACATCTGGGAGTCAAGCAGCAAGCTTGGAGGACAAACCTCTGCCTAAACCAATTACATTTGTTATGCCAAGACATTGCTGTCATTAGATGCATGATGACCCGGGGCATGGCACAAAGGCAACACATAAGTAAGAAAAGTCCCTTTATTATCTCCAACTTTACCCCCAATGTCCAGGTTACCTTCGGCTGGAGAAAAACTCTTCCAAGAACAGCCTTTAACTGGAGAAAATTCAGTCCAAAACAAGGTACATACAAACTGTAACTAAAAATCCAAACAAACCAAGCTGCAGTAATTAACCTGACAGGGCAGAGAAGGAATTTCAGAATTGAAAGCACAGCAAAACATACACAGTTGGGATGATACCAGATAATTAACAATTTGCTCCCAACAACTTTGCTGTGCGCAGCCTCCCTTTTTAAACCTTATGTTCCCAGCTGCAGCTAATAAAGGGAATCAGGGCCCTTTCCTCCCTCGTAAGCAACACAACTCACGTTGCTCTCTTCTCCGTTCTTCCCTGCATGCCCTAGAATGAAGAGGGGGTGGGCTTGGGTCTTCCTCTGAATTCCTTTTCCCTTGCTCTACCTCTCCCTTGTTCTGCCCAGCCGGACTTTGCCCTTCCCAGTTTCTTCTACAGCCAATGGAGCCACACTCCCACTCCCTGTCAGCTGTTTGGCTTCCCCCTCCAAATCAGATTCTGACAGGAGCACGACAAGATGAGAAGGATCTCATCCTTCTCCTTCACTGCCACAATTGCATTCACTTCAGGATTTAGGAAGCATTCTTTTTCCATGGCAGACTCTGCGCTATGGAATATCTCTTCCCTGGCATTTAAGATCTGGCTTTCTCCCAAGTGCTGGGATAGGGATGAGATAAATGAAAGGATTTAATGAGATCTGTTTGTGAAATCTTAACTTTGGTGCCAGGTTTTTAATGTTTATGATTTCAGAAGATACTATACAGTCATGGGGGGGGGAGCACACCCTCTTTTTGAGTTCTACACTTTTACATATCAGGACATAGTAAATATAATCTGGTCCTTAGCAGTGTTTGAAAGTAGATAAATACTATCTCAGATGAACAACACATGATATATTATACCATGTCATCATGGCTTCTCCATTTTGCTTTCTTTCTGTAAAATAAATGATATCATGCAATAAGTCATGATGTAATCCCATGAAGGATTTCCACACACATATACCTTTGCATGGAGGAAAGAGGAATTGCTTCTCTGCCAGCTTCCCAACTGATTTTCTTGAGAAGCCAACAGAGAAGATTGTAAATGGCGATCACATGATCATGGGGTGCATGGCAACTGGTCATGAGTGCAAACTGGTTGCCAAGCACTCAGCTCACAATCATGTGGCCAAGCTCTTTGAGATTTATTGTCTTCCCTGGGATTAAGTATTTTGAGCTTCTTTAGATTTCAAGGATCCTAAAACACATCAATGCAATGTTCTTGTTTCACAGAGATCATTATAGTTGTTTTATTGCCTGTCCTTCCTTGGAATAGGTGCTTTAAGGCTCATAAAATATTTCTGACTTTAATAAAGCTTTGTACTGGATCCCCTTGATCACATGATCACATTTACTTGAGAACTATTTGCATTCATGACTGGTTGCCAAATACCCAGTGGTGGTATTCATCCAGTTCGCACCAGATCGGGCAAACCGGTAGCAAGAATTTGGCGTGGGTCGCTGAATCGGTAGTAAGTTCTGGCCGGCCACGCCCCCCCCACCTGGTCGCACTCCCGCCTGATGCTCGCTCACCCTGCCCGCCTGCCTGACATTCGCCTAAGATATTCCTTTCTTTTTTTTCCCTCCCAACTATCAGCTGTAGATAAGATCAGCTGTGTCGGGATTCCCCTTGCTGAGGCCCAGGAAGGCAAAAAATGGAAGGAGGAGTTCAGCCCCCCCTCCATTTTTTGCCTTCCAGAGCCCCAGAGGAGCCTTAAGGGAGCAAACCCACCCCCCAGAGGCTCTTCTGAGGCTAGGAATCTCCCAAAACGGAGCTTGGAGGGGTGCTGCGTGCCCCTCCCATGCTCTGTTCCTTTTCTTCCAGAGCCCCAGAGGAGCCTTAGGGGAGCAAAAATGACACACACCCCCGAGGCTCCTCTGTGGCTAGGAAACTCCCAAAAACGGGTGGGGGCTGCAAAAAAAAAGCCACGCTCACCCAGTCACATGGCCATGCCCACCAAGCCACGCCCACACAACCGATAGTAAAAGTTTTTGAATCCCACCACTGCAAATACCTTGCAATCATTTAAAAGTCAATCCAGCGGAGAAGGTTGCAAGTAAAGGGGAGGCTGGAAAAAGTCTGTTCCCTTAGCATGCTGGACGGGAAATCAAATCTGCTGAAAATGTTAGCAAATGCCATTATTCACATGATTGTTCTCCCCAATGGGGCTGGGACAGCACCTATACCTCCCAGGTATGGTGGGAGGCCAATCCCTCTCCTTACCCTATCATGTCCTGGAGGCACAAGCCCCCTCTCCAGCCCTCCACTTGATGACTCATGTATTCACTTACCAACTGCAACTGGGAGAATTGGGATTGTGGTTGTTGAGCAATACAACAAATTATTTAATGGCCACTTTGCTCAATACAGAGATTGCAGGCCCGTGAGTGGCCATAGGACTATCAGTACAATACCTATATCTATAAAACTTTTTATAGGCAAGATTTGGTATCTAATTAAACTCCCAAAGTAGACCTTTCATTGAATTTACTCCCATCAGACATCCCAAACTTCCATCAGCAACTGTAGCAATGTAAATAAATAGGAAGATACTGAGAGAAAGCTCATAAAGGCCCAAGGTGATTAAAAGCAATTTTAATAGCCTAAAATATTCAAACTAAACTAAAAGTCATAGTTACTAACTGTGAAATACAAAGAGACAAAATATACATCACTATTATTCAGAAAAGTTGTTAATCTTAGTAAATGAAGCATAGGACAAGTAACTGCCCTTAGCAGTTTTCTATGCCAAAAATACCAAAAACATTACGATTAGTCATATTAAGATTTGTTTAAAATAAATGGTACAAAATTCAAGGAAGGAAAAGCAATTATCCTCTTTTTTATCAACTACTGTACAGGTAACCATCTGACTAAAGCCAAGGCACATGGACGTTCAACAAAACATGAAGGACCATGATGTTATCTCATTCTTGTATATCAGTATCTATCTTTTAAATAAACATAGTAATCAAATATAAATTCAAAAGAACAAAAATGGTATGGTATAGGGTTTCCTGCCTAAGCAGGGGATTGGACTAGAAGACTTCCGAAGTCCTTTCCAACTATTCTATTCTATTCTGATTCTATTATTAAAATGTTAGGACACCACCAGACATTCTTTGCTCAAACTAATATGATATAATGTGTTATTTCTATTTTAAAAGGATAACATAGACATATCAATTATAACTGTAAATCTGCAAAGGATTAATCTAACTATTAGTTACTTCAGGGAGAAATATAATCAAACACAGATAAATAGAACAACAGATAAAGTAGAATATATTTTTATCAATGGCAGGAAAATGATAAGATGCATTGTTTGTAGATTTTAACTTACTTGTTACTTGCATCTGTAATCTTCCATTGTAATTATTACTGTTTCCAGATGTTGGGGAGGCTGCAGCCATATCAGAGGATGCACTTTCAGCCTATTGAAGAAGACAAAATATTTGACTACATGATCCCATTATTCTGCTAAAATTACAATCAGCTAATAATTTAATGAATTAGGTTTGGTTCCTACAAACTTGTTCTATTAATATTATATTCCTTGTACTGCTTATCAATTTAAGTCATGTTTAAATAATTTTTTGAAATTATTGCCCAAAATGTTTATTTTTATTTGTGTTTGTTTTATTTTTAAGAAAATAAACAATACCGTATTTGCCGGCGTATAAAACGACCCGGCGTATAAGACGACCCCCCACCACCACCGGAAACGCCCTCCAGAAATCCCCGGGGCTGCAGCGGCAGGGCAGAGTGCCAGGGGCCGTGGGAAGAGCAGGAAGGCTGCAGCCTCGGGCAGAGCGAGGCGAGCGGGATGAAGCGGAAGCGACGCAGGGGATCCGGGAAGCCAGAGGCGCCTTCGCTGCGTCCAACAAGCATCCGAAAGCCGGCAGTGGATATACCGGCGTATAAGACGACCCCCCCACTTGGAGGCATGTTTTTCGGGGCAAAAAAGTCGTCTTATACGCCGGCAAATACGGTAATTCTAATTTGATATTGCAAGTCGTCCTCACTTAAGCAACCATTCAAAGTTACAATGGACCTCCCCAAAGCTACTTATGACCTGTTTTTAAAGTTCAAATGCCCATGTGCATTCACGATTGCATTTTGGGCACTTGGCAACTGACTGACATTTGCAGACATTTGCAGCATCCCATAGTCACATGACCACAATTTTTGCCATTTTTTTGTCAGTTTCACTTCTAGGTTTTGGCAAAAAAAAAAAAAAGTCCACTGAGTATAATGATTCACTGCAGCATTTGCTTAACCACCACAGTGGTTGCACAACAACCACTTCAAAAAAGGTTGTAAAATCAGATGAGATGATGTGCTGACCCACTTAATTATGGCCACAATGTATGACCATAATTCCAGGGTTAATTAGTCCTAAATCAAGAATTACCTATACAGATGCCCCAAAACTATTAGTACACCTCTATGTTTTCCAAAAAAACTCTATAGCAATTTGTCATGAAGTAAATGGAAACTTACAAAAGCAAATGGTATCTATTAATCTTTATTCAATAGTCTACAGAGAAGGCACTTTCCTTTTTTTACATGACTTAACATATTCTTATAAATAATAAAACAAACGTAAATAGTATGGGCATAATTATCGGTATCCTTAACTTAATATTTCATAGCATATCATTTTGAGTCAATAACTACAATGAAGTGTACCTCTGAATAAGATTTTATATTTCTCAACTGGCAATCTGTTCCACTCTTCTTGAAAAACTATTCCAATTGTCTTAGGTTTCATAGGCTCTTCTCTTTCCGTAAGTGTTTATCTGGATTCAGGTGAGAAGTTAAAGCAGGCCACTTCTGAACAGCCCTATGTTTGCTTTCCAACCATTCTTTGGTTCCTCTCTAAAATATGTTTTGAGCCATTATTCTGTTGGAGAACCCATAAGCCAAGACAGAATGTTCTAACATTGGGCATTATAGTTTAACACCATTATGTCTTGATAATTTTCTGGTTTCATTTATTCATTAATCCCATAACTTTATGAAGGTTCCTCCATGTTTCACAGTAGAGTTGGTGTTCTTTTTTAAAAAGCATTTTTTCTTTTGTAAACATAAAGCTGCTGTGACTTACCAAAAAGCTCTAATCTTGTTTAAACTGTCCAAAAGACATTGTCATAGAAGATTTATGCCTTGGCAACGTGCATTTTGGCAAACTGCAATCTGGATGTCTTGTACCAATCTTTAAGAAGTAGGATTTTTTAACATGGACACCACTTTCAGTCAGTCAGACAGTATTTGATAGTATAACGTGATATGTTGTAACTTGATCTTGCAGATCAGCCAGGATCTGTTTTGAAATTTTTCTTGGTTCTTTCTCTACCATTCAAACTTTCCTTCTGTTCAATCAACTTTCATCTTGTGGCCGCATCCAGGTAAGTTGGCTATGGTCCCAGAGCTCTTAAGCTTCTTGATAACATTAGCAATCATGTTCACAAGAACATGAAGTTCTTTGAAGACGGTTTTGTAACCTTTACCTTTACCATGCCTGGCTGTTACCTTTTTCCTTTCCTCCGCAATCAAATCTCTGCTTTTCTTTGTCAGGTTTACTGTGTTGCACACAATGATACAAATGTACGATTACTTTTCTCCAAATAGGCTGAGTGATTAATTATGAGACTGAATATCTAAGTAATTCTGCTTCAGAGATCACTAAAATCCAATAACATAGTTTAATATCTAAGTATGAAAATAATTCTGTCCATGCCATTTTAATTTGTTTTATTTGCAAGAATATGTTAACTCATGCCTCAAAAACAAAGTGTCTGAACTATGGAACAAATGGTGGAGGCTATTTATCTGTTTAAGTTTCAATTTATTTCATGGCAAATTGGGGGGGGGAATACAGGGGTATCAATACTTTTAGTCACATCTGCAGAATACTTATTATTGCTTTCACGTTTTTAGTTGTTAGCAGGCCCAATAAATATACGTCTGTAACAAAGCACTTAAACAGCATGTACGATGTCATGGCTAGGAAATTGATTTACAACCAGAGAGACTCAGGTTCAAGTCTATCCTCAACCACAGAAACTCACTGGATGACTTTGCTCAACCATTTTATTTCAATCCAACTCATTTCGTAAGTGTGTTGTTGTAGGGATAAGAAATTAAAATGATTCCCAAGAAATCCACTTTTAGTTCTTGAAGGAAAATTGTAAATTTAACTGATTAAACTAATTTTAATTAATAAACATTACTACATATATAGCACTATTTCAAAATTTATTTATTTATATCCTGTTTTCATTATTTTTATAATTCAAGGTGATAAACATGCCTAATACTCTTTTCTTCCACCATTGCTTTATACAGCAAGGGGTTAGGTATATAAATAAAAATATGCTTTTTATTGTCTTATGTCTTGTTGCCATGTAACTGGTCACTGACAGCAATAAAGTTATACATGAAGAATAATATTTGATTGCTGTATCAGGGTTCCTCAAAAGACATTTTTATGTTTGTCTTTCCAATATTCATCGAGTAAATTTCCTATAACTGTTGACTAGACTGCTACCAGAACATGGCCTTCTCTGGTTTTGCTTGGTCATTAACAACAAAAAAAGTCTATATAAAATGTATGCTAACCTGTTTGTCTCAAACAAAAACAGAGCAGATTTAGAGAGAGTCCTTGACTTACAAACATTCAAAGTTCTGATGAATTGAAAAAGGGACTTTCAACCCAGGTCTGAAGTTCCAACGATCACGTCTCCACTGCAGTAAAATGATTGCATTTTGGGCACTTGACAACAGTCTCATTTACACTCACTTGTAACATGATTGCACCCACAGTCACATGATTGCATTTTATGTTGGTTTTGTCAAAAAATGGCTCTTAGTTTCAGCTTTCAACAAAATGCTTAGCAAACCATTGGCTCACTTACAGACCACCACATTGACTTAATGAACATTGCAAAAAATCATAAAATTCAATCAGTCACAAGACCCAAATCATTTTACAATTGTCACAACATAACATCCTAATAGGCAGGCATCATTGCAGGCATATGTCAAGGAATACCTGTACTTCATTTCTACAAATCATGTTCCTCTTATTCTCAAATTAAAAACAAATAAAAATATTTTACTTTTTTCTTTCTTAAACTGAATTAGAATCATATATAGTAGCAATTTGTAACTATGTATTAATTAAAATATAGAAAAGGGTTGCTAAATATTTGAAAAAACTATAATTATAGTAAATGGTACAAAATTGTATAAGTAAAAACTTTTTTTATCCTAAGTTAATAATTGAAATGTGTTACTGAATAATAATCAAGGATTGAAAAAACAGCTGACATGTTGGAATGCAAGCAGTTGTTTATTGTTAATATTAGCTAAGATAAAAATAAACTATTGATTTACTTTTAAAGCATTTATACCAATTCTTCAGCTGAAAGGCTTTCAGAGCAGTGGCAGACTCAGCTCACGTCATAAGAGGGCAGAGTTATACCCAATGCTGGACTCTAGAGCAGTGTGACGGAGAATGATACCCCATATTTTGATTAATAATCAGTGAAAAAGTAAATGTTAGTAAATGTTAAATATTTAGTAGCTTCATATAAACTCTAACCCAAACTGTCAAAATACTTTGAAAGAGTGGATATTAGCTTAAATATCAGATAAAACAGATAACAGATAATCAGAGTTGGAAGGGACCTTGTAGGTCATCTAGTCCAACCCCCCCCACACACACCCAAGCAGGAGACCCTACACCATTTCTGACAAATGGCAGTCCAATCTCTTCTTGAAAGTCTCAAGTGATGGTGCTCCCACAACTTCTGAGGGCAAGCTGTTCCATTGGTTGATTGCTCTCACTGTCAGAAAGTTTCTCCTTGTTTCCAGGTTAAATCTCTCCTTGTTCAGTTTCCATCCATTATTCCTTGTCTGGCCTACAGGTGCTTTAGAAAATAGCTTGACCCCTTCCTCCCTGTAGCAGCCCCTCAAATATTGGATCTGGGTAGTTTGTCTCCTCTACCATTCATTTCTTTCACTTAATATTATTTTTCTAACTGAAATATCAGAACATAGTGCAGATCCATAGTAACAGCAACATGATCACTCTTTTTTTTTTTCATTCTAGGTCTCAAACCATAGTTCAAGTACCAAAACAACAAAAATCACACAATTCCAAAGAAAACTGATCCTAATATTCCATCTTGAAAGGTACATTTTGGAAACTAAGTATTGAAGAATGTATATTAATTGATTTAATTTCAAAGTAAGGTTTTGTAGTTGATATATAGAAATGTCTATGGTGAGAAAAGTCTAACTTAAGAAGGAAAGGGAATGAACAATCAAAAACCTATTCACAGATAATTAACCATTAACCTCATTATACCACATTAAGACAAAGAAAGAACATTCTCTTTATCATTTTTCTAGATAACAGAATGTC